TTTTCTCCTCCTCCCCTTCTCCCTCCTCCTCCTCCTCCCCTCTCCTCCCTTTCCTCCTCCTCCTCCTCCTCCTCATTTTCCCCCTCCTCCCTATCCCACCTCCTCCTCCGCTTCTTCTCCCTCCCTCCCTCCCTCCCTCCGTCTCCCTCCCCCTCCTTCTCTTCCTCCTCCCCTTTCCCTCCCTCCTCCCTCAGTCCCTCCCCTCTCCCCTTCTTCTCCCTCCCTCCCTCCCTCCTCCCTCCATTGGACGCTGGAGAATCCTGAGGGATGGAGGGAGAGATGGAAGGAGGGAGGGATGGAAGGAGGGAGGGATGGAAGGGAGGGATTTCCCTTCCCCCCCTCAAACTCAGCTCCACAGGGGACCCTCCGAGAAAAAAAAAGGGGGAAGCCAAGGAATTCCCAAGAAATTCCCCAAGAAATTCCCCAAGATTTTCCAGGAATGTGGGGGGGGGGGGGCTCAGTCTTGGACAAAACCCCCCCGAACTTCCAGATTTTCCCACTAAAATCTATTTTTATTCACAAAAACAAACACAGCTCCTGCTTCCCTCGGGGAAAGGGACGGATCCGACCCCCCAAATCCGCCGGGAAAACCCCTCCCCCCCCCCTTAGGTTCACCTCCTGCTCCCCCTCCCAAGGTTCATCCCGAGGATTCCATTTTTTTTCCCTTTGGAATTCCCTTCGGATGCTCCTCCAGCCCCAACACCAGGAGGAGCCCCCCCCCTTGGGCTGGGACAGATCGATCCTCACCCCAAACTTTCGGGATCCTCCCGACCTTTTGGGATTGTCCCAACCGACAGCGGAATAAATACAATAAATAAACTTCCCAAATTTCCGGGGGGGCGGCGGAGTCGGGACAATCCGGCTTCTTCCTCGACCGAAACCCACCAAATCATAGGATTCGACCCCAAAATTGGGGGGGTTTTCCCTCCAAATCAGGGGGATTTTTCCACCATTAGGGGGGCTCTTGCCCCCTAATCGAGGGATTTTGCCTCAAACGGATTTTTTTGCCCCCAAACCGGTGGTTTTTTTTTTTTTTAAGCCCCAAATCCTTGATGACATCATCACACTCTGAGTGGGTGTCGGCCAAGGCTGTTGGACGTGGAATTCGGGATGATCCAGGAGCGGCTCCATCCCCACGTTTTTGGGGTCTCTCTCTCTGACCTCGGCAACGAGTTGGCGGCACCTCCAAGAGCACCGACCTCGGAAGTGCTTCTTCCGGAATCCTCCCGGAGCAGGAGCTCGGTTGGGTTTTCCCCTTGGCAGGATTCCATCTTTTTTTTTGTTTTTTTGGTTTTTTTTCTGATCCAGAGAGGGGGGAAGAAAAAAAAATCCCCCCCTTTGGAAAACTCCAAAATTCCCACTCGGTTCCTCCTTCCACCCTCTACTCTACCCCCTTCCTACTCTACCCTACAGAAGCTACGCCGGAACAGCCCAATCCCGCCGGGATTCCCGTCAGGAGTTGAGCCTCTACCCGAGTCGGCATCAAGGTTGGCCAACCCAACGAACCGGGTCCATCCGGCGGCCCCTCCGGAACGTTTCCGCTGGGAACGGGTTCTTCCCAAGTCATCGTCAAGGTTGGCCAACCCAACGAGCCGGGTTCATCCAGCGGCCCCTCCGGAACACCGGAACGCCGGAATGGAGGCTCTACCCAAGTCATCGTCAAGGTTGGCCAACCCAACAAGCCAGGCTCATCCTGGCGGCCCCTCCGGAATGCCGGAACGCCGGAATGGGGGCTCTACCCAAGTCATCGTCAAGGTTGGCCAACCCAACGAGCCGGGCTCATCCTGGCGGCCCCTCCGGAACGTTTCCGCTGGGAACGGGTTCTTCCCAACTCAGTATCAGGGTTGGTCAACCCAACGAGCCGGGTTCATCCAGCGGCCCCTCCGGAACACCGGAACGCCGGAATGGGGGCTCTACCCAAGTCATCGTCAAGGTTGGCCAACCCAACGAGCCGGGCTCATCCTGGCGGCCCCTCCGGAACACCGGAATGCCGGAATGGGGGCTCTACCCAAGTCATCGTCAAGGTTGGCCAACCCAACGAGCCGGGTCCATCCGGCGGCCCCTCCGGAACGTTTCCGCTGGGAACGGGTTCTTCCCAACCCAAGGTTGGTCAACCCAACAGGGTTGGGCTCCTCTGGCAGCCCCCTCTGGAATGCTGGAACGGGGGCTCTACCCAAGTTATCATCAAGGTTGGCCAACCCAATGAGCCGGGTCCATCTGGCGGCCCCTCAGGAACGTTTCCGCTGGGAACGGGTTCTTCCCAACTCAGCATCAGGGTTGGTCAACCCAACGAGCCGGGTTCATCCAGCGGCCCCTCCGGAACACCGGAACGCCGGAATGGGGGCTCTAACCCAAGTCATCGTCAAGGTTGGCCAACCCAACGAGCCGGGTCCATCTGGCGGCCCCTCCGGAACGTTTCCGCTGGGAACGGGTTCTTCCCAACTCAACATCAGGGTTGGTCAACCCAACAGGGTTGGGCTCATCCTGGCGGCCCCTCCGGAACGCCGGAACGCCGGAATGGGGGCTCTACCCAAGTCATCGTCAAGGTTGGCCAACCCAACGAGCCGGGCTCATCCGGCGGCCCCTCCGGAACGTTTCCGCTGGGAACGGGTTCTTCCCAACCCAAGGTTGGTCAACCCAACAGGGTTGGGCTCCTCTGGCAGCCCCTTCTGGAACGCCGGAATGGAGGCTCTACCCAAGTCATCGTCAAGGTTGGCCAACCCAACGAGCCGGGCTCATCCTGGCGGCCCCTCCAGAACGCCCCCCCGACTCGGCGGCGCCGCCGCCGCCGCTCAGCCCACGGGCCCGGCCTCCTCCTCGCCGTGGCTCCGCAGGTGCCGCTGCAGGTGGGAGGTGCCCCCGAACCTCCTCCCGCACCGCGGGCAAGGGAAGGGCTTCTCCGCCCCTCCTCCTCCACCGTGGACCCGCCGGTGCTTGGCCAGCGCCGAGCCGTCGGCGAACGCCTTCCCGCAGTCGGCGCAGCCGTGCCGGGGCCCGGCGTGGGCCCTCTGGTGCTTGTGGAAGTGCAGGGTGCTGTTGAAGCTCTTGCCGCACTCGGCGCACACGTGGGGCTGGCCGCCGGCGTGGGTCCGCTGGTGCCGGTACAGGTGGGAGGTGCGGCCGAAGCGCTTGCCGCAGTCCCCGCACTGGTACGGCCTCTCCCCGGTGTGGATCCGCTGGTGCCTCTCCCAGTGGGAGCTCCACGAGAAGCTCTTCCCGCAGTCCCCGCACCGGTACGGCTTCTCCACCGCGCCAGCCCCGGCGTTACCGCCGGCGCCGCCGTGGAGGCTGCGCCGGTGCCGCGCGTACTGGGCGCGGGCGCCGAAGGCCTTGCCGCACTCCTCGCAGCGGAAGGGCCCGTCCAGGTGGAGCCGCTGGTGCTTGACCAGCGCCGGGGCGTCGCCGAAGCTCCTGCGGCACAGGGTGCAGCGGTAGGGCCGCTGGCCGGTGTGGGTGCGCTGGTGCCGCTCGAAGTGCAGGGTGCTG